AGCAAGGGCTTAGTTGTTGGCGCCACCATTAGAAGGAAGAGGAGCGGTGCGGGAACCGTAGGTGACATCGTGTGTTTGTGGTTGGGCCCTCCACGGGGTGTTAGCATTGCAGAAGGGTCCTGTGAGGGCTCTCGGGCCGGACTGTCAGTGTCCCCACCTGGTAAACCTGTGTTGAGATGACACAGAGGCTCTGCTGTGGTTCTCTTGCGTAAGAGTTGCGTGTTAACACTAGTGGTTGTAAATATTATCATCACACTTTGATTTGTCTGCTTGCCTCTGGAATATAGGAGCTTGTAGCATATAGAAACTGTCAAGATTTTTAACAACCATCAGCTGTGTATTTCTGCTGTTGAAATTCAGTGTAACTACAGACTTGTTTTTCCTGCTTCTCTTCCTTAGTCTCATATAATGGCGGCAAAGGCTGTAGCAAATACAATGAGAACATCCCTTGGACCAAATGGTAAGAGTCTAACATTCTTTAACAGAGAGATTTTAAATCATAATTAGTGCAGCTTCGTTACGGAGAGTTGGGGCCATCCTTCTGCCCTCACATAGCCCTTTGGTTTGGTTTGGTGTGTTCTAGACCAAAACACATAATAGCGTTGTACAGTTATAATGTGTTTATAATTTGGATCACTTGTTTCCTCCCTCAACATCATTTTATTAGCATTTTCTGAATTATAGCTATCACCTTAGTTCTTAATATACAGGCAGTCCCTGGATTACAGGCGAGTTCCGTTCCGAGGTCTGTTTTCAAGTTGAATTTGCGCGTAATTCAGAACATTTAGGTAGAGTTCTTATCTAGCATCCGTTAGTCGAAGGTTTGTCTTAGCGTGTATAGTGTATAGCGCATTAAAAACATTAAAGAAGCGCTTCCAGATACACTAAAACGTCTTTAACACGACAGTAGGGTAATAACGTTTTGACGCGTGTCGCACAGTAGCAGCTGTTTCTTATCACGACCTGTCAGCGTGTGCCTGGAGTGTTTAATACGACAGGCTTTACGGGGTGGGTTTCTAACTGCGGGCTGTGCGTGAGTCAGACGTTGGTGACCTGGGGACTGCCTGTACTACATTTAGTGGTGCCTCATGATTTTTTTGCCGTTTTTTTTTTTTTAGACATTTAGGTTGTTTCTAATGTTACAGTAAGCAGTCTGAAACCATTTTCACGCAGATACTCTTTATACTTCATTATTTACTTACAATAAATTCCGTCAATAGGAACTGAGTCAGGAGGTCTAAATGGTTGTTTTTTATAGTTCTTGGTAGATGTTGCTTTTCCCCCGAGAGGCACTCTGAACATTGTGGTTTTCAGGGCTTGACAAGATGATGGTGGATAAGGACGGCGATGTGACGGTGACTAATGACGGGGCCACCATTCTGAGCATGATGGATGTCGATCACCAGATTGCCAAGCTGATGGTGGAACTCTCCAAATCACAGGATGATGAAATTGGGGATGGAACCACAGGAGTGGTTGGTAAGAACAGGCCGAGTCGTCCTTCCTTGTGTAAAACACCGGGCTAACATGGCTGCCAGGAAGGTCGCCCTGAATCCCATCGTGGGTTGACGCTCAGACAAATGCAAACCAAAGACCACGCTAGAAGACAGGTGGGACGGGTGGAGGGCAGCTGGGGAGCTGCTCTGGATTAAAGCAGCTGAGCTAGGGGGTGTTTGCTTGGATGCTGGGTTTTTTTTTTT